CAAATGTAAAGTTGTTACATTTGGCAGTGTTTGATGTTGACTTACCCATTATGTACTATTTTGCCAGATACTGTAGTTTCTTTGAGTATTGATGCATTCAGAGGAATTTTAAATAAGTTTTAGAAAATCTCTTCTCACGGTAGACTGGGGAGGCCTGGCAGACAGGTTGAACTTATGCAAATCATCAAGTCATTTGGTGCATTAACATTGATAATTATTTCCCTGTGCTCCTTGTTAGGTACTGATACTAGATGGAATGATGGCTGACAGCACATGGTGTAAACTGGTTATCAAGTCGCAAACTCCTCTTGGAGGATTTCAGTGTGTTGTGCTTACTGCATCCTTGACCGCCATTTTGATCGCTGTACAGGTTTATCATCCCAATGATAGACTTAACTTCAGCTGCGATCCCAAACCCAGTGATTTTATCAGAAATTCTTGCTATAACAAGTACATTGACTCAATCAGCAAGCCTCATGGGTTAATACCTCGGAATGTTGTTGCCATAACCTTTTGTATTTTGTGTGCATGTTGGATCGCCTTTGCATTTTTTGGTCCTGTTACCCTTCGAAAAATCCAAAGATCAACAGGCAATGTCAAAATCAGAAACATTAAGACTTTTTCCTGCTTCTACTATATCCATGTGCTCTTTCGAATATTTTTCCTGGGTGGTATGTTGGGGCTGTCCTCCAGTTACCCTACAATTTATTTACCTTCCATTTATAAGTGTGAAGTTCATCAGACCCCACAGAACAACAATCAAACCATGCCAAGTTCACTTAACCAAACAAAAATGACATTGCAATGTAATGATCTTCATTACAGGGAGAAATCAAATCTAAATATAGCTGTAATTGCTGTGGGTGCCATTTTTATTCTGTTTGGTATATTGGAAATCCTGTACTTGTGGTGTACAAAGGGACATGTTGTGCAAAAGATACTTGGAGATGTTGAAATTGTTGAGCTTGGCCCTCTACTTCGAAGTAAGTATACTAAATAATTTGAAGTGAAACTGCTATCAATGATCACTGCCATAAAAGTGATGATGGAGTGTTGGTCAGCTATACAATATTGCAGAAATGGAAAAAAGTACAATCCACAAAAATTCATAGAACTAACTAGTTGTTTTACTTTGGAATAACATGTTGAGTTTGGATTTAGCTAAAAACTGCTGAAGCCAACATTGTGAACTTTAAGTCATGATTTAATATTCTGGCATGTATGTTAACTGAGAAGATTGTTTCCAACTTTGTACCTTTTCATTGAATTTGCAAGAGGGGGGTAAGAATTCTCGGTTTTTGCAGCCCCACCCTCCCTCTCTCCTCTACGTAAATGAAAATCAGAAGGTTGCAAAAAGTCAAAGGTAATTGAAAAAACTAAGAAATCCACTTGTTTATTGAAGGCGGGGGTGTGTTACTAGGGAATTTAAATTCATTACACGCGAGCGATGAATCTACTTACAGTAAGTATTAACTTTCATGGGAGACAAAATTCAAAAGAATTATTATTTTGAACAGGTTTACCTGAGAAACCCACCATCACAAATGTAGAAAGTGAAGTTGACAAAGATTTCACTGTGACCTGGTCAGAAGTAGAGGCTAATAGCAGTAATTGCAGCATTAAATACCGTCTGGAATGGACGAAACAACCCATGACACAATCCACAGAACTGGTTCAACGGGGAAACATTGTGGAAACTCACTACGAGATAACTGGTCTCGAGTATGACGCAGAGTACGAAGTGAAGCTGTTTGCTGTCAACAAAC